CTGTCACAGACATGGATACTGTGCCGCCCACAGGTGTGACCATGGCGAGTTCCTCCTCCCCCTCGGCATCCACTTCCAAGATGCCCCACAGCAGCGTTATCTTTGTGAGCAAATCGAACGCTGTCAGCACCACCGAAGGACCCACCACACTGGTGGTGCATCCCCAACCGCAGCCGCTGCCCCAGCACTTTGAATCCCTGCCCCACCACCCGCAGCAGCTGCAGGCTCCCCACCACCACCAGCACCCACCACACCCACACGGCATGTACCAGGGTTATCCGCAACATCCTGGCGGGATTGTGGTGGTGCCGGCTGACTCGCGTCCCCAGACCCCGGACTACATCAAATCTTACCCAGTTATGGATACAACTGTGGCCAGTTCGGTGAAGGGTGAGCCAGAGCTCAACATAGGTGAGTGTTCAGACCAAGGAGGATGTATCGGTTGGATGTAGTACCAAGGTCTATGGTAGCACCTAATCTTTGTACCCAAAACTACTTCAATGAGGAACAGATCGGTTCTGACATTAGTTTTAAGATCTTTAAACCGTAAACCATAAACGAGGCAATCTTAGACTTGACTTCCGTTTTAGTCAAAGCGGAAACCTTGAGGCTCCAAGTTTGGCAAACCATAAAGCTTCAGGTATTATAAACTAATCTCTGGTGTTTGCCGATCTGATCCGATCTGATTTTTGGCCTTCCCCCGCCAATTAGCATTAGGCCGATTGGATATTGAAGGTGGGACTCGTTTCGCATATTTGTGACATCACTGGGAGTAGGAATGCAATCGTGTGACCGTCATTATCATAACAATTATCATTATCAGGTCGATAATGTTTAGTCAGTCAGTTCGAGTCATCAAGGTCGTTCCGCATCCGAAATCATTTTCTGTTTAAGCTTGTCCCCGGGGTTCAAGTGAGTTCAATCATCATCGGCTTAAACTCTCAACACATTTCAGTTTTTTTTTTTATTGAATTTTGTTGTTTTTTGTTTAAACAATATTATAACTGTACCAATGTCAGGCTTTTGTTTTATGACTAAAGGAAGTTAATGCACCTTATGGAGCAACCGGTTCGATCGAATCGAGTAATTGGAGTTCAAGTGATGAGTCAAGGTGGTTCTTCCTATAGAGGGTAACTGGTTGAACTACTGGGATCTGCTAAGAGGACCTTGGGCTACCATTGAACTCTATATTTCTCTATATTGTTTTTCATGGAAATTCCATACTAGTCACTCTGATATCGGTTGTTTAGAGTAATGGTGTTTTTCACTTACTCCGTGACAGGCGAATTGAAAGTGAAAACCAAAATAATATTTATATGTGTCTACCCATTATTTGCTTTACTTTGCAAAAAGTGGATATCTCACCGATATTTATTTATCCGTTGGTGTTGGTGTAGGCATTGCATTTCAAAAAAAAAAAAGTGGAAAAAATAAACTGGGCGACCGAGTGGCAGAGTGGCTTAAACCATCGAAGGGGGGAGGTCTATTTACAAGTTCATTGCTACTACACTGCGACTAAAAGATGTATATTAAATGGCAAGACTTGAGATATATTTTTTAAAACCTATTTTAGAGTATAGATATATCTCTGTAAATTACAATATTTTATTAAAAATTAATTATGCTATTTTCAATGTGTATTTATTTGAATTTCTTCCACTCTTTTGGTTTCGACCTGGTCGCTGTGCATCCGTTTGCCAAGTTTCCCATTTCAAACGAAAGTGAAATGCCAACTGCAGGCCTGACTTGGCCTAAACCAAAGCCAAAGTCAGAGCCAAATTCACTTTTCACTTCAAGGCGACGACTGCGCATGCGCGGCCAATTTACGGGCCGAAAACCCGGTTCGCGAGCCTCTTTGGCTGTCAAATTGCATTTGACATTTTTACATAGCAATAGCAATAGCAATAGCACTGCACTGGGGTTAATGACTCCTTCTCCTCCTGGGCTGGCTGGCTTCAAATGTCGGTGAAAGTCAACGAAGCTACACAAGCTGCAACGCTACAATTGTCCAAAAGAAAAGTTTGCCATTTGTTGCCTAGTGCCTGGCTCTCTCAATTTATTTTTATTTTCTTTTTTTTTTTTCTTGAACTCTAGGCTAGCCTCTGCGAAAGTTACCAAGCTCTCGTTCGATTTTATTTTATTTTCGGTATTTTATTCGATTTGTTTGTCCGTCCGGTCGTGTTTATTTTTATTGGCACAATTATTTGTGCATTTTAGAAATTTATTAAGCGGCCAAAGACCTGCCAAAGAAAGTGAAAATCATCCGAAAATCGAAAGTCTATATAGGACTTTTACTTTTTAATTAATTTAATCTTAAAAATAATATAAATATTCCCACGCTTCGATCAACGACCTAATAAGAGTTGATGCCCCCCAAAAATAAAGATCATTGCACTTGTACCCCCTTGTACTCCAGTAAAAAAATTCTGTTTCTCTGAAAGGTCATTAATATCAATTCAGTGTTGCATAATCGAAATTTTGGGAAGCATTTTTTAAAATTCAATGAACTCAGCGCCAAGGTGTTGGAGGCTATACGCCCACTTTACAAGGTATTCGCTCCTGATACCTCTCCAATTTTTCGGCGAGCTGACCTCAGTTGCGTTTTTTGAACTTGACGAACAAAAAATTTAAAATTAAATTTTGTTGTATTCTTGATTCGATTAAATGATACATTGAACTGGCGCTAAAAAGCAACAACAAAAACAAAAATTAAACGAACCGAGAAGAAACCTGTCTGAACATTTCCGCATTGAAGTTGGGGGGCCAGAGCGAGAACGCTTCTGGTCTCCACCACCACCTCTCTCCCTTGCTCGCTTATCGCGAGAGCACCACGCAAAAATAAAAAAAAATTTCAATGTCAAATTTTAATTTAATACCTTTTTTTTTTGTATTTTTGAGTCACAAAAACAGAACATTGCCAATATATGGCATGCGATCCTCTCTCAGTCTCTGCTCTCGAAAAAAAATATTTCGAGTAGGTTAGTTGAGTGTGTGTGTGTGAGCGTGGCATTTGTTTGGCTTATTTCTGGCTGATAGTGCCCGCAGACACCCCCCAAAAAAAGCCCGCCACCCATCCTCCCTCCACCCCCTCTCGCGGTTCTAGTTTTGTGTTTGTGAGAAGTGAATGAAACTTTCAAGGTCGCCTCGATGTGTTAGAGTGTGTGAGTGCAGTGCGTATTAGATAATTCCCATAGATTTCGGTTAGCTAATGGAATTTGTTTTGAAAAATTAAATAGGGCTTTAAGATGTATGTTATTTATAAATAGAATTAAGTTTAAATAAAATAAAATGACAAATATTTAGTTTAGAGACTTGGAACTGTCATAGAATAGTCATAGTACTGATTCATTTCATAGAACTAATCCCCCAACAAAAGCCAGATACTAACTATCTTTATCAGACTTTGGCTCTCCCAATCACCTCCCTATCCCTATCCCTAAAAACAAAAAATAGAATTTTATTTATCAGGCCATTACACGTGTCGCCGATTAGCGAATGCCAACAATTCACTCAAAAGTTCCCAAGGCGATGAGACAGCGATATAGCAGTAGAAAGAGAACACAGACCTGGAAGAGGGGGCTCTACGCTGACCTTGTTTATAGAATTGTCTTTGTTTATAGAATACAATTTGGTAATCCATGAGCGAATCTATTACAAAAGCAAGTTCTTGCCAAAAAAAAATAAATAAAAATCACAGTGATAATGACGTAATCTCAACGATTCATTCCAAATTGGGGACTGAAAGAGACAACAATAGTTCAGAAAAGAGAGTCAGAACATATAATTTAAAATGTGTGCCACAAAATTCCCCGCAAAAAACAAAGGAAATCCAAATAATAATTCAAGCTGATAGAAGAAGCTAATAGTGTTCACATTTTCCATTTCAAGTTCAAATAAACAGGCCCATAGTTCTGATAAGACCTATAGAGATAGTAGTTGTATCTACAAGGAAGGTGGAAGCTTGTGATTGCAGTGTGTTTTGTTTCCCAAAGGTCTGGTTCTTAACGAGAGATATCAGCAAGTGATTAAATATTATGAGGAACTACTATTACAGAAACCTATTCCTTATTAACTCTTCAAAAGTAGATCACTAATCCCAGGCACTTTACAGATCCCCATGTTTATGTGTATCTGCTGTCTGGAAACTTGAAACGAACTCCAAAGATCACTGCCAGATGCAGTTTCTAGTTGTTGTTGTTGTTATTGTTGTTGTTGTTCGACGCTAAAGTGCAACGATCTGCAGTGCGAAATGTCAGTGAACTTGTGTGCATACGATGCACCCAACGAAAGAGACAGCAATAGATGCTGCTATTTATGCGAGAGTGTCTGAGTATCTGTGTGTCTGAGTATCTGTGTGTCTGGCACAGAAATAGCAAAAAAACGCAGATACAGATACAAGTTGATCGTGATGATAATGATGGCCATGGCAGCGTGAAGATCATGAACATTGTTTGCCATTTACAATTGTTTACAAAGCGTGGCATGTTGTGGCAGAGAAAGAGATAGAGATCAATACAAAGAGGAAATTGCTCTCTCTCTCTCTCTCTCTCTCTTGCGAATCGGGTGAAAGACTTTCTTTGGAGCTGCCTCAATGCGAAGAAAGAACCAAAACCAAAACAACAAACGGGTTTGAAAGAAAGTCTTTCACCAGAACTTGTTTCTCTCCCCGCCACAGGGGTTCTTGCATCGTCTCTTTCTTTACTTTCTTCTTGTTTACCTGTCTGGTGAAAGTTACGTAACCAACCAAGAACGAGCTCAAGTTCAGCAACAAGTTTTTGTTGTTTCGCTTTTGGTGCTTTCTTCGTATCTTGGCACTGTCTTCTGGGTCTTCTGAGTGGAGGGGGGACTTTCTTCTGAGTGTCTCGGGTCTCGAGGCAAGTGATAATGAAAGTTGTTGATTTTTTTTAAGATTTAAGTCTCTATTTTAACCCTTATTTGGGAAGAGTATATGCATAGATACATAACTAATCTTTTATTTCCAATCTATCTTTTATTTGCAGAATTCGATGGCACTACGGTGCTGTGCCGGGTTTGCGGTGACAAGGCCTCCGGTTTCCATTACGGCGTGCATTCCTGCGAGGGTTGCAAGGTAAGTTCCTCAACTCAACTATATCCCATTTGTTGCGGGGGTGGCTCAACATCAAAGCGTGCTTGCCACGTGCAACTTGATGGTACAACCACCGACTTTGGGTCTGACATTGAACTCGGTTGACCTCTTTGGCAAGGCCAACCGAGAACAAGGATTATTCCAACAAGGGGTTCAGTTTGCCAGCGACAGGGTTGTTTTCCCAGTCTCCCTCCCTCCCCCTCTCTGGTAGCAACAGGCTTCGCGCTCCAGGATTGCCCTTGCCCTTCACAGAAAACCTGCGATGTCGTCTGGCCTTTGGAATTGGAATTGTCCTTGCATTAAATTGCGTCGCAATAAAATAAATCAGAAATATACACGATTCTGGGGACTCACAAAAAAAAAAACAACCACCAAAACCAGAACGAAAACATCACTGAAACATATTTAATACTTATATAATAATATAGAATTAAATCTAGAACTAAAAGGATTAAACTTATTAGTTTAATAAGAAGTTCTTGATGGTTATATTTTATTTTCCAGCCTCATTAGTCCTTAATTATTATTATTATTTTTTTTCGGTGTATAGAGCCGCCCTTTGTCGTCTGTGACATTGAAAATGCCGACAAGTTCATTCGCTTTCAGAGCCGATTCCCCCTTAATTGTACCCTTTCTTAGAGATGGCATGCCGACCAGGCTCTTGGCCTGATCGTGTCACGCTCTCATCTCTAGTAACCTTGGCAAAGTAGTTTGCCCTATTCCCTGAGTCCCGGGGCTTAATGTCTCAATGACGTCCTTGAATTGGGTTAACAGCCAGTCCGAGGATCGTTCTCCCTCTCGCTCTCTCTTGTCTGCCATCTCGCTTTCTTTGTCTGAGCCCTTTGTATGTATTTGTTTTTGCGTCTGCGCGTCTGAAATTTCAAACGTGATTTCTCCAAAAAAATTAAAAATTTTGCAAATTATCGGACCTCTTGATAAAAAAAAAAAAAGAAAAACTTGAATCTGCACGAGAAGAAGCAGAAGTTCATTGACTTTGGACCAGTTTTTGAATTCAGCTTTTCGGGTTTCTTGGAACTTTTGGTCTTTTGTGTTGGATTTTGTGCTAATTTATATGTTTATTATGTGAATGCAAATATATGTTTAACCGACTAGGTAGGCCTACAAATCGTATATCTTCGCGGTCTTTTTTTTTTTTGAAGTTCAAGGTTATAGACTATAGACCTCTCCCTCGCACCCGGCTAAAACCAGTCCTCAGCTCACGCACTTTTTTTCTCCCCGCCATCTCTTTTCCTCTAGGAAGCAAGTTTTGCTCACTCTGACAACATTGCTCATACGCCGCGTGGTACGCTGATATTTCCGCCCTGGCTGCCTACCTGATCTCCTACGATCCGCTCCACGGACCTTCGTCTTGTCTATTGACCTCTATTTCAGCGACAGATTCTTGTGTATTTTTTTTTTTAAATAATACGCCGATTTTTTAGCTGACGAATGACTTCATTCCCAGCCAACAAACTGACTCATTCGGACACTTGGCAACTGGAGACTCTATTTGGAACTCGTTTTGGCCATTGGCTGGTCGGGTTTGCTGTCTTTTATTGTTTTAGAGCCGCCTTAAGGGTTCTTCAGGTTGATTAATTATTCCGGAAAAGGTTTCTGAACAAGCTAGGGGTCTACTTGGTAATTTTAAACTAAGTTCCTAATGATGAGTCATCTATCCATCTCTATCCTTCACACATTGGTTGCCTGTTGCCTGTTGCCTTAATGACCCAATTCCCGATATTGTAACCAAAAAAAAAAAAATTATAGACAGGGCAGGTGATAGGATGGACAACAACGAAGGAGCGTGTGAAGAGGAGACCCCAAAAATATAGTCAAATAGATGGAGAGGAGAAGACCCCAGGAATCTCTCTCTTAAAAGTGTTATTTAACGCATTTGTTATTCTTTTCACATTATTTAGCATATTTATTTATTTATTTACGCACACACCTACATAACTGAATTGCTGTTGCCTTCTTTTTCTTTTTTTTTTTGGTTTCTTTCTTCTGGTGCTTCTGCTTCTGGCCCCCACACACTCCATTCTCCCCCCACATTTCGCTTCGGCGGTTGTTGTTTATGCTTCGTGTAGTTTTTCGTATTTAGTGCGAGAGCGTGTATCTGTGTGAGGGCTGGCGGTGCAGTGGTGTGTGTGTGCAGCAAAAGTGAATGAACTCGTTCAATGTCAAACCAGCAGCACCAAAGAGCGGGGCTCAGAGAGAGAGAGAGCTAGAGAGAGTGCGTGTAAGAGAGTTGTGAGAGCAAGGAAAAGAGAAAGAAAAGTACTTTCTTTGATCTGAGACCCATGGGCCGAGTAAATATTTATTTTCTAATCTAAAAATACATATGTATGTATGTATGTAGATTCCCTCCCAAAATCTTTAGACCCTAACCTGCATCAATCGCCCGAAATGCAGGCCATAAAACCAAAGAAAGTAAAGATAAACAAGAAAAAATTTCTAAATTAAATTCGAAACCTAGTATCTCAAAAAATAGAATAAATACTCAAGATTTTTATCAAAAAAATACCCAAATTCCTTATTTCCACTTTGAATTGGAAAATCAAAGGAAAAACCATTCAGAGAGAGAGAGAGAGAGAGAGCGCAAACTAATGTTGTGCTAGGACACACGTACTACACACACACACACCCACACAGCGACAGGGGAAAGGTTATTGCTCTGAAATGCACTTGAACGACTGACTGCAGCGTTGCATGAAATTGTGTGTGTGTGTGTGTGCGAGCGAGCACGAGGTGTGGCAGAGGGGTGAGAATAGATAGTGCCACACAACTAGGGGGTGGGGGGCAGCAACTGTGGCTCTGCCTCGAAGGGGTGGGCGACTCAATTCGACTCGTATTTAGGTTGCCAGAGCTGCGACTGGGCATTTTATGTGTATCTCATGGGGAAAAGTCTAGAAAATGGATTTCTAATTGGAGGTCTCACGAAGAAAGACTCTTAAATACTATAGAATTTTTGTTTGTTAATATTTATATTGTTAATATAATATTGGTAAAAATATTTGCAAATATTGCTACGCATCGCTGATGACGTTTTTTGCCCACAAACAGTTCAATGCACTTTGTAATTTAGGTCAACAACCTCAGCCTATTTGGGTTACAGGCCACAACGAGCCAGAGCTCATTGATGAAGGCTTAACAATAAATATATATAGGGAACTTATTTAATAAAAGTGTGTCAAACGATTAGGGATTAGGGACGAGTCAAGGGATTGCCATAAATCTCAAGAGCTAAGTCACCTAACTCAATATATTTTTTAAAAATTGCTTATTCTTTTTAGATATTTTTTTAAAATTTTTCAAGTTTTAAAATATAGAGTTTTTATTTTAAAATCTATTTTTAAATTAAACACTCAGCTTGCTTTTCTACAAAGACTTTGTGGCGCCATCTGGCGGTAGGTAGCCTTTGCTTGATCGAGTGCCTTACCAAAGCAAAAGCGCAAAAGTATGCAACGAAAAATATCTGAGACTTATAGCAAAGAGCTTTTGAAGGGTAATACGTGTTTTTAAGAAAAGCTTAAATAAATAAAGATATAAATAATATTAAAGAACTAAATTATCAAAATGAATTAAAAAATATAGGAAACTTTCTAAAAAAAATAAAATATTAATGAAAAATCTTAATCTTTAAAAATTAGGCAACTATTTTTTAATTTTTAACTAAAAAAAATCAAATAATTTTTAAGGCAAAGAACATAAACACACCCAAAAAGCTCTTAAAAAATGCTCATAAATATTGAAATGTCTGAAAATAATATCCTCTCTGCCTATCCAAGGCCACCTCGAATGGCTTTATTTTTTGTCCAAAAAACTTGAAAAAATGACTAATTAGTACTAAAATAAAAAATAAAAAAAAAATCCGATTAAAATAGCGAGCAAATTAATGACGTTGGCACGCCCACAGGGGCGGCCTTAGCAGTTTTTTTTGTTTTGGAGGCTTATCTAAAGAGAACGTGCAACTGCAACACAAACAGCAGCAGCTGCAACTGCAACTACAAATGGCATTATTTTTTTTTTTTTGCAGCAAGGCATTTTACGAGCGATAGTAAATTTTTTGTTTGTTTCTGTGGTTGAGTAGCTCAGCAAACACACACACACACACAAATGGAGGGTAGTTGGGTGGTTTGGTTGGGTGGGTGGTTGTACCTGAACCCACCCCCTAGGGGGTGGCACTTTTGCTGACCCAGTTAAGAGTCATTCGCCCGGGCTCTGGGGGCCACGTGCCGTTTTTCTGACTCTTGGCTGGAAGGAGACTTTGCTTTCATTCGAGGTTACTTACCCCTTTCCGCGGGGGTGGTCTGGGGGTGTGGGTGGCTTAAGGGTGGTAGGGGGTTGTTTCACTTTTCCAACCCAGCTGCCAAAATATGTTGTTTGTTTAGACGGGGCCAGTTGTGGGGGAGCGAAAAAGGGTTCAAGGGTTGTCTTGTTTTATGACTAATTGAAAGAATATTTAGGCCCTAAAAGTTTTAAGATTTAAATATTTCCCAAATCTGAATTTTAAATCGAAAAACCTCCTCAGTTATATAATCATTTTCTGTCTATTTCTCTTCCTTTCAACATGTTGCACGTGTTCGTGCTTTCTCTTTCTCTGCTGCTATCTAGCTGGAAAATTCCCACTTTGTTGGCAAATATTCTAGAACACTCGCAACGTCAACGAACTTGCCACAAACCCAGCCAGTTTCTGCAATGAAAGTACCGCAAGAGAGAGAGAGAAAGAGAGGCAAGAGAGAGGCAGAAGAGTGGGGGATAGTTGCAGTTGCAAAGTGCATTGACTCTGCTTTCTTTGCAACGTTTGACGTCAGTCCCCGGGTTGAATGCACTTTGCTGGGGAAAGACCCGAGTTGGCAGCCAAGACACGAACCGAGGGATCACATGTTGCAAGTAGATGTTGCCCAGCACACCAGTGGCAGCAACATCTACAGTAGCTCTAGCTCTAGCTCTAGCTCTAGGGTTCAATGCTCCAAAGTGCT